GCCATCCCCTAAATAAATTAAAAAAAAAACCAACACACACACACAAAACGCCCCAAAAATCAGCTCGATGGTTACGAGCCATCCCACCTAAATACAAAAAATATTTCCAAACCCCAGATCGATAGTTAAAGGCGTCATTTCGTATAACAAGGAGAAACCCCCGCGAGTTTCTGCGGGCGATAGTGGAGCCTGCGCCTCACGGGGGAAACTTTGCGAGGGGCTGAATGTCTTTTAAAGTTGTTTGGCGCAAAAGCAAGAGATGGGGCGAGGGAGAGGAGGGCTGTTTTGACCCACTCCCGCCCGCCGGTGTTTTAATAGTTTGCATTCTCCGGGGCTGCGGCGGTCTCTGGTGTGAGGGAAACAGTTTATTACCTTTCCGTGAGAATCCCTGGATAGAGGGCGAGGGGGAGAGAGGTGACAATGAGCAGGAAATAGTTCAATGGGGTCTCTTTAAACAATAACAACTTCTTTAAACGGGAGCAAAGGAGAGGGGAAAAGAAGCGGCGCGGTGTAAAAATAAGGGTTTCTTTTAAAATAGGCAACTCCTCTCCCTCCAAACCCTCATCCCTGACGGGATTTTTAAGATTTTAGGAGAAAGTGCCCGGGGTCCACAGGCAAGCAGCCTGGGAGCAGAAGGAGCTGGAAGTCAGGGCTTCCAGGAGAAGGCAGCTGAAGGGGTCCCTGCTGCAGGATGCAGACCCCGCCTTTCCACGCTCCGCACACAGCGGAGCAGCAGCCCGAGCGTGTCTGCCTCCATCCAACTTCAAATAAACCCAGTGCTTCCGCTATTATTTTCGGTTTCTTTTTGGTTTAGGAGCTACGGGTTACAGCTGTGTTGTCATTACACAGCACCACCGGGCTCATATACCTTAACTTACTCAACTCCGCAGAGCTGCTTTTTTTTTTTTTCCCCTTCAACCTGACCTGTTAAATTCCTCACGCCAGCTCTCTTCAACCACCGTCCAGAAACACGTCAAAAATTGTTATCCCTTCAGATTAATTCCTGCGTTAAAGTTTCTTAAAGCTCTTTCTGCCTCAGCATCTACCGCCCGCTTTTTGTCCCCTTCGGAAGGGGAAAGCAGCATTTGCGAAGAAATTACGGGCGAAACTTACTAAATCGGTACGCAGCCGCTGCTACAGAGAGTTTGAGACGGTCTTTTCACTGTCAATCGGGTATTTATTTCGCTTCAGGTGCTCCACTCAAAACACGAACGTCCCAGCAAAAGCCGGGAGCACGCAAACCCCGAAGGACCACGGCACGCTGTCCCTCGGTTGGGTTGGCAGCACCCTCTTACTTTGGGTTTGCACTTTGAAGGCGAAGTTTCAAACACCGTAATCCTGAAACAGCCGAACACCGGGAGAAGTTAACCCCGGAGCAGGACTGGCACCGACAGTCACTCCCTCCCTGCGGGTGAAGGGGAGAGAAGGGACGTTTTCCCCTCTGGCAGATGTCGCGTCCTTTTTAGGGTATGGTCGGCGGGGAGGGGGGGAAGAGGGCGAGAGTGGGGTGTGGGTGGCGATGGGTCCCCTGTAGGACTACCTCGTCTCGGTTCTTCCTCGCCGCCACCTCTCCTGACGCTGAACGTGCTTAAGAGCCGACAGCAGCAGAAACAGCCGGAATTGAAAGCGACGGGGCCGTTTCGGTGGAAAACGGACGGTTCCGAAAATGAATAAATAAAATAAAGAGAGCCCATGCAAATGTGTATTTAGGCTACTCGAGCTTTAAAAACGCTATTCTAATTCTTCCGGATGGATGCTTCAAGGAAGGGCAAATTCCTGATATATATATATGCGCACAAGGAATGGGAAGCAACCTAACCCCCTTCGGCAGCAGACACTTATCTGTATGATTACTACATTTTGCTCTGATCTCTCTCTTTAGGCAAAGGGAGGAGAGTTGAAGCCGAATTTAATTTGATATATTCCGCGTTTTACTTAAGGTCAGCAAATAACCGCGCCGCTAATCCCAGACAAATAATGTATGCACTCAAATTTAGCTGGTCTTTCAAAAAAGAAGTCCATTCAGTTTTAAATTTTTAAATGACAGTGAAATAAATTTCCAGAAGTTATACGTAATCTTTAGAATAGGGGTAGGTGGGGGGTGGTGGGGTGGTGGTGATCCAAACCCCAAAGTTTTTCCTCGGCTTGGATTCCTGCCTTCTTCATTTTATTTCCGTCTCTCTCTTTCTGATCTTAATTGCACTTTGGTTCTCAGGAGAGAGGACTCCCCACCTTCATAGCCTTTTCACCGAGAGCTGCAGTGCATGACAGTTTACAGCCAAAAAACTTCCTCCAGCCGAACAGCTATAAAGATTCCCGATTTATAGCAATACTTTCCTTCTCGCATGGGGCGAGCAGGAGCCTCCAGCTGTTACCTCGGGTTCAGGAGACCTGTCCGTCATTCCCTACCTTATTCCCCCGGGACAGCGCAAATCCCCAGACACCTTCCCGGTGGGAACTAGCCCGTGTCCGCTCCCGCAGCTCTCGGGCACCCCCTGACCCATGTGCAGCTTTAATCGCCTGGGGATGCCGTGCCAAAATGAGAGCTTGGGGAGGTATTGGAGCTAGCTATTTAATTATTTTTCAACTTGCGGTTCGGGGGGGACACACGCACACCGCAATTAACATGGCCCTTGGTGCGGGAGCAGCGTCCCCGCAGCCCCCGCCTCCCGCCGCCGCCCCGGGGAGCAGCGCCCGGCCGCCCCGGCACCCTCCGAACCCGGGGATGAAACCCACCTTTCAAAGGTCAAAACGTCCCACCCCTGGAGAATAAACACCCCCTGTCCCATGAGCCGCTTTTTTCTTTTTTTTTTTTTTCTTTTTCTTTCCGATTTTTTTTCACTTAAGAAAAATGAATACATTTAATAGGATATATATGTAATAAAGATGGATATCTTTATCTCTACTTGTCAGCTGCTTTTTCCTGGGCATTGGGGAGGAACGTCCCACTGATACTGCTGTTGAGGCATTGAATGAGGAAATTAGTGCTATTTTCATACGAGGTTTCTGGATTTCGTTTTAATCTGACATACTGTTTTCCTTATACACAAGGTTTAAACAAGAAAAAGCCCAAATATCATTCTGGGAGAGCTCTTATAAAAAGCTCACCATTTTGTAACCCTAACGCACTGACATATACCTACAGAGAAAACGACAACGTGCAAAAACATACAGTGGGTTTACCCATTTTAAGTTTATATATTGTGAGCATTAAGTCTCTGGAATAATTATGTTTCAGGTTCTCTACATTTAGTATTTAAGAAATGGGACCGATTTTCTCCAAAGGTTTTGATGGATACACCTTTTGAAAAACATTAGCTTTTCAAGTAGTCTGAAGCAGAGCACAACATGTTGATTTTGATTTGTTTTGCTTTCCCCCTTTAGCATTTGGGAGGGCAAGGCAAAGGCAGAGTGCCATCCTGCATTTTTGGAAGGTGGCAAAACTCCCGTTGACTTAGTCAGATCTTTGCTTGAGTGCTGCTAAGTACCCTCTCCATCTCAAATGCTCAGATCCTGAGGTTTCCCTCATGAAAGTCAATGATCAAACTTCCAATGACTTCAGCGCCTGCTGCACTAGACAGCACCAACTGGGGAAAACCAACAAAATAAAGTGAAGCTCTCATGAAAGCCCTTAAGG